GGGGCAGGCGTGAGGGGCAGCGGGAGCGCGCCCCGCTCCCGCCGGGGCTGCCCCGCCGCACGTGCTCGGGGCAGCGCGCGGCCCCGCCACCGCCCGCGTGCGGCTCTTTAAGCGCTGCTCCCGCCCCGCGCCCCCCCCCACCCCGTGCCCCCCGCGCGGGCTCGGCCACTCAGGCGCGCGCCCCGCAGCCAATGGGCGCGCCGTAGCTGCGCGAGCCGAGCGGCGCCGCGCCCAATGGGAGGGCGCGGTGGGCGGGGCGCGCGGCCGGGGCACTATTGTTGATGAGGCGCACGGAGGCTGCGGGCGCAGCGGCGCGGAGGGGACGGGACCGGGACGGGAACCAAGACGGGGCTGTGGCGGCCGCCACCGCCACCTGAGGCGGCGAACCCCGCGAGGTGCAGCCCGCGCCTCGCACCCTTCTCTCTCTTCCCCGCCTCAGGCCGCCTTCAGCGAGCCTCGGCTCCCGACGGATAATGTCCCACCAGCGCGTGAGGCGCGGCGGCTCCCCGACCCCCGCCACCTCCCTGGCGGGAGGAGGCGGCGCGGCGGCGGCGGGCGGCGGAGCAGCGGGAGCGAGCAGCCGCCTCCAGCCCATGCGGGCCACGGTGCCCTTCCAGCTCAAGCAGCAGCAGCAGCAGCAGCAGCAACATGGCAGCCCCACGAGGAGCGGTGGCGGCCCGGCAGCGGGGCTCCCACGCGCGGCGCCCCCCGGCAGCGGCGGGCGCGGCGGCCCCGCCACGGCCCCGCCGGGGGGAGCGGGGAGCGGCGGCGGCGGCGCCTCTTCGCGGGGCAGCCCCACGCGCGGCCACGGCGGGGCGCGGGGCAGCCCCCCGCGGCACCACCACCTGCCGCCGCCGCCGCCGGGCAGCGGGCCCTCGCCGTGCTCCTCGCCCGTGCCTCCGCTGCCGGAGGGCCGGGTCCGGCACCACCACCGGCGGCAGTCGCCGGAGCCGGGCAGGAGCTCCCCAGAGAGGAAGAGCCCCAGCTCCCCTGTCTGCAAAGGTGAGCGACGGGGGGTCCGGGCCAGCGGCAAAGAGCACGTCCCGGGCGGCCGGGCCGGGTGCGGGGTGCAGGGCTGCGGCCGGCGGTGCTTCCGAGCGTGCCGTGCCCCGGGGCGGGAGTAGGGACAGGGCTGTGCCCGGGCTGGTGCTCGCCCTGCCCCGTCTCTGGCCGGCGGCAGGGCTTGCCGGGTGTGTGTGCGTGGAAGGGCTCGTTGCTTTTGTTGCTGCTCTGTTGCGCCCTGGCTTCCAGAAGAGGAATAGAGAGCCAAGCGTGCCATGTGGGGGTTGTGACCGCTTCTGTAGTACCGCGAGTACTGCCTCGGATTCAGGAGGGCAGATGTACTTAAGGTGCTTGGGCACAAACTTCAGGTGAATTTGGTGTTTGGGGGCTGTTGTGAAGCCTTCACATTTACCCTTTCTGCACACCTCGTACCAGATGGTGTATGTGGTTGTTATCTAAACAGTGTCCCTAGCTTGTAATTAAAGAACTAACTAGTGCTGTAGGCATGGCACGTAAGTGTAGAACAAAAGTATTCAATACCTCTTAGTAGTTGCTTTCAACATGAACCCTGCAGGAGGACGTGTGTGCTTGAGTGATGACAAGCTTGTGCTACAGTGAAGATAGAAAATAGCGTGGCAGTAGCATACGTTTTGTAACAAACTACATTTTAACTTCTTGAATAATTAAATCTTATTGGGAATGATTGAATATAAGTAATATGTGGCATCAGGCTGACATATGCAAGTCCTTTTTATTTTCGGGTTGAAAGTTTACTCAGAGATGCTTCAGTGAACCTTTGTGTCCGTGTCCTCAAGTCTGTTACCTTTAAGATACCAAAGCTTGCAGCTACTCATTTCCATGAAATTGCTTGTGGCAATCTAAAAAGTATTCTGACTAATATGCAGAAGTGTACATGCGGAAATCTAGGACTAGCCCTCTCTTGAACACTTCTGCTTCTCCTAATAGTCCTCCCCCTCTCTAAAATAACGATTGTAACCAACTACCGCGTTGGGTTTTTTTCTTTTTTCCTGTCCTAGCTTTTGAGGAGTGGTACTGCCAAGTGAGACAGTCACAACCAGTTGGTACAAGATGACTGTGCCTCCTAGTCTGCTAGTGTTAAGAGAAGACTGATAAGGTTCTGAGTTAGATTTTCCACTTTCCAGATAAGAGTAATGAGGGTTTTATTAAGGCTGTATTACATTACGAGTTTTGGATTGAGGAATGTGTGTATTCTTCATTTGAGATTCCTGTTAATCAGTAATCTGAAAGACTTTTTACGTATCATAAAATTCTGTCTTCTTCCTGTGAACTTCACTTAACTCTTGCCTAAGGTGCAATCTGCTGGCCTGGAGAATAAGGAAGAATGTGGTTAGCCTTGAGGTCCAGGTTCAAAAACTGTTTGTAAAGGCACGTGTCAGACCACTTAGGGTGGAAGAATTGCAATGTCTGTTAGTCACTGTGGAGAAGTCTGCTGAAACCATGCTGGCCTTTTTACCGCTTTGAAGAATTAACATATATAAGGAAACAAGTAATTTGATCACTCTACTGTGTTAAGATAACTCCACTAGCTTTTTACAAGATGTGTGAAAACAGAAGAGTGGTGTCTGTTTAATTGCTTCCACATGTTCCAGTTCCTGAGCAGTACTTGTACTGGCCCCAAATGTGAGCTAAACCTCTCATATTGTTTAACATTTGTATTGTGTAGTCCAGTGCTTGACAGAGGCTGAGTTAACTTCAGGTTTTTTCATCATCTAAATGAGTGAACAGTGTTAGCTGAGAACATGGAGGTGGAACTTTTTTACTAATGAGGCAATGGTTGTGCAGACACACAGGACACTTGAGGGTATTGGTAAGAATCTGCTGCAGAATAACTTGGGTTTTTCTGTTTCTTGTTTTCAGTTAATGATGGCTTTTGTTCATTCCTACAGCTGCAGGAGTATTTCTTGAGATAAAAATGAGCCTTGAGGTTAGACAAATGATAGCTTTTTCTGAGCTTAGATACTGGTTGTATCTAAATATAAGTTGTATACTTCAGACTCAGTTTCATATTTTTCAGATTTTCTTTCCTGGGAAACAGTTGCATAGTTTTGAATTTAGTTTTCATGAACCTGCTTTACATTTGAGAACCCTAACTTGTGAATTTACAAATGTGACTTTTGTGGGTTTTGGGCGTGGGTTTTGGACGGTTTTTTTAGCCCTTGTTTTCTGATCTGAATTGCAATTAAATGTTGGAAATACTTAACTGAATTTTCTGGGATAATTACAAATGGAAGATTCTGTCATACAACTTCTAATTTTCCATGCTTTTCTTGCCACTTCTCTCCCACTGTCCTAAATATGACCAGAAGCCTAGATCTTGTTTTTCATCTTTTACTCTGCCTTTCTGCAGTCTCCAGCACTTCTTTCCCAGAATTCAGCTTCCAATTGCCTGTTAATGTGTTCTTCTTTCTTGTCACTGGTGAAGCCTCATTTCTACACTGCAGTGTCTGTCCTGCAATTTCCAGTTTTGGTTCAGTTTTCCTATAGGCCTCTTCAGGTGCCTGCAAACAGAGGCCTATAGGAACAGAGGCCATGGATTTGACCTACTAGCACGCTGTTGTAACATGAGCTAGAGTGTACACATTTCTCTGTCTCCATTGGTTTTTCCTTGGTTTATTCACTGAGTCAAGATCTCATGGGCTCTTTGTTATTTGTGTTCTTATATGAAATACATCTTAGAGGACTTGAACTGCACAGTTGCATGAATGTTGCAGTGTACCAGGCTGAGTAAACAAGGTCAAGACCAGAGCCATAGCAGTTTTTTACTTTCAGATGCCTTGAGGTAGTGAGAGAGTTCTTTACTGGATTCTGGACTCTCTGGTATATTCCAGTTGATTGTATTGGACATCTAAACTCATTCTGAAAATTAAGGAGATAAAATGGTTTGTCTTATTTGGAGGAAAACTTAATTGTTTTGTCTATGGAAGGGTAATATTAAAGCCTAGTTCTGTGTATATGGAAATTATGAAAATATTACATGAAGTCTTAGAAGTCAGATGTGAACATTTCCTTAGAGGTAGGGAAGAAGAAATTGAACTCCATTACACTCTGACATTTCACCATAGAATTTATTTATTTTAATAATCTGGTGAGTGACACAATAATAACTACAGACCTGTCAACCTTAATGGCTGAGGTTTTGCTGTAGTTTTGAAAGATATTCCTGTAGGGTAAGAGAGAAGACTCTGTGTACCATTACATTTCTGCTTTGCTTACCAAAGCTGTTTGACAAATGGTAGGTGTAAAGAAAGTAAGCTCATTTGTGCAGCATCGTACTGTGCATTTCTTGTGGCAAGCACTTTAGGGAAGTGCGCTTATTTGGATTAAAAATATTTTCATTAATTAGAGTTAAGTAGATTGAACATCTTGGGCTTTCTGAGGTTTGGTTTTGTAAAACACCACTAACTCTGTCATTCTTCTACAGTGGAACAATTTTGAATCACTAGTGAATAGTTCTCTTTAAATTTATGGCTGATGATAGGCAAGATTATCTTCTGAAGGGAGTGTACGCAGTTGGGTGATGTCTCTTCTTAGTGTACTGTGTCTGTTCAGTTCTTTCAATGAAACATGAGAAGTAGGTGAAGCCCCAGAGACCAGGTGCAGTTTTGGAAAAGGTGACTGTGCCAGCTGTGTATGGGAGAGGTCCCATGAATATCCTTTCTAGGGGAAAGTCTGACCAACACAGAACAAAAAGGTCAGCTGTATGCCCTGAAGCCGGAGGAGTTAGTTGGGTCTCACCCCTTATCACTTGGGACAGCCCACTTGTATAAAAAAAGCCTCAAGTGGAACTTGAGAGAATTTTGGGAGTTTGGTGGCAGCCTGGGCTTTTCGGCTGCTTGTTTTCTCACAGTGTGTGTTCGATTATGTTTCTTTGGTTTCTTTCATACCTTTCAGTCAGTTATTGGTAAGCATCCATATTTGTTCAATTTTGCTCTTCAGTTGCACTGGTACAGTACCTGAACTTATGCTGCCTTTGGAGGTGCCTTTACTCTGCAAGAGGTGGTGTGTGTGTGATACCAGCTCGCCTGCAGCAACTTCTGTTGCTGCAACAGTGACTGCTGAAGACATGGCAACTTGCTTGTTATTTCCCCACATTATGGGGAAATATTTCATTGATTTGTGCTGTGTATGTTTGCTTTGGTTTTGTTCTATTAATTTGCTTTGCTTAAGGCCGGATTGCAGAAAGACTTTAATTTCTAAATAAATCTATACTAGTGGTGGATGGATAGGAGGGTTGATATTTATCACAAATACTGGTTTAGAGAGGTAATCAGGCCAATTAAAAGAGATCTGATATTTAAGAAGCGTCTATTTGATGAAACAGCTCCATTGTTTTTCATCAGCCACAGCTGTTGTAACTGTTATCTCTATGGAGGCAGATCTCTTGTTATGTAGGTCACATCAAGGAAAAATAGCAGCTGAACACTTGCTTTAAGTATTGTAGGGGAAAGTGCAATGAAAACATTGTATATGTTCCCATTGAAATGTTTTGAAACAGTAAAAATTGTGTAGTAGACTTTGCAAATTTGTATAAAGACAGGTTGTGAAGGTGGAATAGTAAAAACATATCCAAACATCATTCCCCTATCTAAATAGAAATAATTTGAAAACAGAATTTCTTAAATGGGTTTTTAAATCAGAGGAAAAGAGTATTTACAGGCTTTGTGCCTTGAAATGAGCAGCTTCCCTTGAACTTAAACAGTAAACAGGCTCTTCAGTTCTCATTCTCTCTGTTCAGCAAAATAGTCTTCTACTTGCTTTTTGTTTTGTTTGTAGTGGAGAGGAGAGAGTAATAGATTCTGCTTCTCCAGTTTTGAAGCTGTCTGCTGCAGTGGCTTTTGCAGATGATGTGGCTGACTACGTACACTTCCTGATTTATATTTTTTTTCACATTCTTTCTGTTTCCCCTTGGTAAGAAGAGAGAAGCTTCTTGAAGAGGAAGAATAATAACTGAGAAGAAAAACAGGGAGGATACAGCAGCTAATTCTAAGACAAATAACATGTTTGATTTAACTTTGGAAGCCAGTGTAATTTTTAAGGAATGTCACGTTGTGTTAGCATGCCACATTGTCCTATAGTACACACAAAGGGAATAGTTTTGAAATCATCTGATGCAAACAGACCCTTCAGTGTGCTGTGTGGTGGTAGTGGTAGTCAGAAAATTTCTTTGATGCATGAGTCTTAAATGCAAACTCCAAAAATATGTTTACTGCTACACCATGAGAGCAAATCTGCTCTGAGCTCAGTAGTAAGGTTGTATCATTGCTGGTACTTGTAGAAATAATAAAGCAGATGAGGTTTCCTGACTGCTTTGTGTGAGTGTGGCTGATTATAGTGCTAATAATTGTTTCCTTATAGTTGAATTGAAAGATTTCCCACATTTTGGTGTGCACATCTCTATTAAATTTGCATGAGCTATTTAGTGTAGAATGTCACTAGACTTAGGTTCTGTCCACTCCACTGAAATCTATACCTAACAGGTATCATACGTATTTTTAGTAGATTGTAACAACTTAGAAATTGAATTTTGGACTTTTGGTGTCAGTGGTTTTATTTTCTGACTAGCACTCAGACACTAATCAGGCACAATTTTCTTTGCCTGTAAATGAGTTTGTGTATAATACAAATACTTTTAGTGCAGAATTCATCCTAAGACACAGCGAGAGAGGACAGATGACTGAGTTTTTCCAGTGCCCTTTTATAAAGCTTCCATCTGACTTCTGAATCATGCTTGCTGTGTTGTAGCCATGTATTTTAGGGCTTTCTATTCATTAGGTAAGATTAATGCACAATTCTTTCAAACAGAATTGAATTTCTTTTTGTGGGGAGTAGATGAGATAATAAGTTAGATCATTGGGATCTCAGGATTTGCATTTTTCTCAAAATGTGTGAGCACATATGTATATCTAAACCCTGAGTCTTAACTGCTTATCAATCTCTTAAATTTGCCAACTTCAGTTACTGTTTTGAGGAAGCTTTCTTCAGTGTTTGTTCTTCATAGTTTGTGGTGTAGACTGCTGCCACTTTACTTAAGACATCATTGACAAATGGGATAGATACAATTTTTTTATTTTTAACAGTAGTCTTCCTTCTCATATTAGTTCCAGTGGTTGTTATAGCTAACCTTTTTTAGTAAGGATTCCTTTTAGTAGTTAAATTTTTCTGAAATAGGATGCCTGTATATACACTACAAATGAGGTGTTGCAGAAGATACAGCACCAGGCAAATATGAATGTAGTTACCAAGTAGCATGTAAAGGGAGGAGATGTCCCAATTAGCTTGTAAACTGTAAATCGTTACCTTATCAAAGTTGACTTCTGAATCTAAGGGTTATGCCATATGTTATGTGCTGGGTGATTAAAACATGCAGGTTTATAGAGTCCCTTGAAGTAAAGTAGGTGAAGGACTAGTGGGATGAACTGTAAGCTCAGCATTAAACTGAAAAAGTTGAAGTTTTTCTTCATTAACCTTTATTTATGAGTAAACTTAGCTATTTTTATTTCTTCTACACCTTCATAATTTAAGAGACAAATGACTGTTAGACTTCTAAAGGAGTAAATAGTGGTGTGTAAACACTAATGCAACATTTGTGACATAAGAATGTTTTTAAGGAAACCATTAAAACAGATTTCAAGCTTATTCAAACAGAATAGAACCTGGAAAAGCAAACTTAATTTCCATATTAAAAGTCTCTTGTTGTGTACTTAATAATATAATTCCAATTTGATATGATTTCTTGTAGACTATTAAAATGAGTAAGCTCTCTCCCTTGACTTTGTTGTAATCAAATGTTCTTGCTTTCTTGCACTAACAGACAAATCAAGACCACCTTCCTCAAGTCCTTCCAGTATCGTTCGCCGCACCTCTTCACTGGATACCCTAGCTGCTCCATACCTTGCTGGACAGTGGCCTAGGGATAATCATGGACAAGCTGCTCCCTGTATGAGAGACAAAGCCACACAGGTAGGTTTTTTGTCTTTGGAGCATTTAAGTGTAAAGACAGGATTTAAATGTAAGAAGCTTTTCCCTTGAAAACATTCACTTTAGCTTTCTTGCTCACAAGTTCCTATTCACTTTCAAATTGCGGGAATTTTCCTTTGCTATTGCATGTGTGAATTACTTGCATTCTTTAAGTAAAGGCTGTGAACTGTAGTATCTTTTAGGTGTTCTACTTCCTTCTTGCCTCAGGAAAACGCTAGTGCATTATACATCTGTATTCTTATTGTTCTTACAAGGTGCAGTACACTAGATAGCACTGGAATTAAGTGCTGTTTACATTCATACAGAGAACTTAGTGAAGTATCCTTATATGTATGTCTATCTCCAGCTCTTCATCCTCTGTAAAATCCCCATAATGTTCACTTGGGTTTTGTGCACCAAGTCTAGAATTATATGCATTGAAGAACTGCCTTGTTGAACCATGAATGGTGTTAAAATCTAGCTCAACTGGAAAGTATTAAAAAAATGCATGATTTGCTAATAAATATCACCTGCTTAACCAAATGTTGAAAGCGCTAAAGATTCAGTCCTGTGCCACCTGTGAAAATGGAACCAACAAACAATTGAATGAAATCCCAGAATGGAACATGGTTTCAACAAGAAGTCTCCACTGATTCCGAAGAGCAAACAGAATGCAGTTGGAAGAGGACCTCGTAGCATATGGGACATCCTTGTGTTTGAACCTCTGTTAGGTTAGGTAAAAGTAGAAAAAAGGTGTCCCCATGGTTTTCGGTGTGTAAGAACGTGTAGGATGTTGAGCAGATGAGCTCTGCAGTGTTATTGTGGGGCCTTTTTGAGATCCACAGCTTTTGTGGGAAGGACCACAATTCAAAGAGCAGATCAGTAGAGGAGGAAGGTGTTTTTGTAGGGAAATATGCTCATGCGGATAAGGTGGAATTAGGAGCTGGTGAAGAAAAAAGGACTTGAGGAACAAGCTTTCTGTGCAGGAAAACAAATTAGAAAAACGGTTAGAAGACAGGGTAAAAAAAGTAAGCAAATTGAAGTAAGAGGAGGAGGGTGATGAAGGAAGGTATGTGATATAAGATATTAGTGGCTGTTTGTGCCTAGCTATTAAAAGGCATCATAAAAGGGCAGAACTAAACCTGTATGGGTGTCCTAACAATTTATTTTCATATTTGATTCCTTAGAATAATACTTTTTACAAAATATTTATATTTCTGTACTGCTGCCAAAGTATTTGCTATGTTCAGTTGTTCTCATTCAGGTTAATTTCAATATAATCTGAATCATAGTTGGGCTTTTATTATCTGTATTTGCCAGATATCATCCTTTTTGGCTTGCATTTTGCTTTTGGCTTTTTCTTCCAATTCTGACACATCTAACTGCTGTGGTAGTGGGGCTTTTGTAGAGGAAATGTATTTGAAAGGTTAATGGAAAGACTGTAAAGGGCATTAGATATTTCTGCGGAATGAGTATATTTAGTGGTGATTTATGGTAGTGTATTTCTGAGAGAACTAGAATAATCTGTTTGCACTTCCTAATTTAAAATTTATCAAGCCAGTAGAAAATTTAGGTCTATGGACATACATCTGTGTGTCCAAAGCTGATGTTGATATGACACTGATGAGGTATTACTGCTTTTAATCTTCCAGTGGGCCTGAGAGCAGTCACTGGAGCTGGGGACAAGTTTAAAATGTGACTTACAATGATTAGTTTCCCAAGATAACAAAGGCTGCCCATGCGTACTGTTCAGCTTTTCTGAAAATGTCATATTTGAATGAAGTTTCACTGGTGAGATACTCTGGTTCCAGTGTGTGTAACTTCAGATTTCACAAAGTCTGATAAGAAATATATGTGTTCTAATTCCAAGCCTTTAGAGAACAGGAATTGAATTTGCAAAGTTATAAAAGGTTTTCAAATTGAGTAAGCAGGGTACCTTGATTGTGTGGAGTTACCACACAGGGAGTAGAGTCATTTGGGAAGCAGACTGGGAAGAGACAGCAATTAGTGGCACACTGCAGCTTGCAGGCCTTTTTAGAGATGCCCATGGGTCATAGCTGAGAGCTGTGTAAGAGACCCCAGGTCATGCAGAGACTGTCTCTCTGACTCCTCCTGCAACTGAGTATTTTGATGAAACCTGTCTATAAAACTAGACTGGGTTATGTACGTGAAGAATATTTGTTGGATGATGAACAGGTGTATTATTGAGCATCCAAGGGTCTGGCTAGAATTCATACCTGCACTTATTAAGTGCTCATGAAACAGGTGTTAATAATCTTTTTTTTTTTGCTTTGAATGAAACATGTTTGTCTTACAAGTTAAAATGAGACAATTACTTTGTATTTTTTTATTTTTAAATAATTCTTTTTAACTGGTTAGCTTTTGTCTCTTAAGACTTTTTTTTTTCTGAAGTATTCTACTGCCTGTAATAAATTCAGCCTAATTTCTTTGTAATTCTAGAAAGTGGGGAGGATGTTGTGCATGGTAATAAATAATAAGCAAGTAGTAGTACTTTAAGAAGCCAGAGAAATATAAATATCACTTCGCCTATTGGTTATTTGGTCTATTTCTTGATTATAAATATTATAATCAAAATTTGGGGAATAAATAGAAGAAGACTTGCTAAAATAGTATTGCATTTCCATTTTAATGTAAAGGTTTGCTGTAGTTGAATCAGAAAAAATTTCTAACTATTTGTTTTGAGGATGAGCATCAAAACACCTTTAATGCTTTAAAATGAATCAGATAGTAATTTATTAAATCATTATTGAATCTTGAGTCAAAGTCTTGAAATAAATTAAAGGCATATCTGTGCCCCCTTCCCTGGGACCCTGTGACTCTGATCAAGATAACCCTGGACCCCTTCTTCCTACCCCAACGGGGTTGGCGGAGAGCCAGGGAAGTCCACCCTGTCCAAAGTCTAGATAAACCCCTGACATTTCCTGTTTGTCCTCTTTTGCCCCACTCTCCCCTAGGACATCACAGAATAAAGAGAGCTGCACCAACATATATCGGGGTAAGAGCCTCTTTTGGAAATCTTTGCCATCTCCTGATATTCCTCCCCTCGAAGCCTCAGATCTCTGGGCTAGCCTGATAATTCAGGGGGCTGTGAGGGGGGGAATGTCAGGCAAAGACTAATTAGAGTGTTAATTATTCTCCTGTGCTGGGTTGGGAAGCTAGAATTAGTAGTTAAAGCGTACCGTTCCAGGAGCTAGAGGACAGGATGATACTCCTGACTGACATTTGAGAATTGAATAAACAAAGGATGGTACTAGGGAATGGGGGTTATCAATTATTCTATTTTATGGTAAAGATCAATGAGTGCTTTTCTGGAAAAACAGATTGTAATGAATTCTGATTTTGCTATGAAATAGGAATTTCAAAGCAACCCTATTAACTTTATTATTCAGATTTGTCCTAGTTAGTTTTTCGTTTGGAATGACAAAGATTAGAAAGTACTGATAATGAAGGTTTCATTTATATGAAACTTGTGTCTGAACTGAAACTGATGGGGTTGCACCCTGTATATTTGCAAAAATAGGGATTAATACCACAAAAGACTTGAGTTTCTGTGATATAAGAGCAGCTTGTAAGAAAGATCAGCATGTGGCTTCTGCAGGCTGGTAGTCTCACATGTAAGAACAACCATGGCGCACTGTAGTTGTAAAGACTTTGAGGCAATCAAAGTTTTCTCTATAGGAAAAAGTGAGATATCCAGAAAATGAGGTTAGCTAGATCACCACTGTGGCTAAGAGTGCCACCACTCTTGCATGGTGGCAAGAGTGAATTTCAAGGAATTTGCTGTCTCTTTCAGTCTGTAAAATGCTTCCAGAAATTCTTCCCCCTGCTTCATTAGGTTTGGTTCTTCCCCTTACTTCCTGTGACGGCTCAGTGTTTCCTGATAGATGCTACTTATCTGTCTTCTTAGAGCCTTTACAGTTCACTGTGTTTGAAGACATTCCTGGAGGTGGCTAGGTGGGACTATTAGCTGCCCATAAAGCATGCAGTATTATCACAGGCTTGCCTGTGCATTTTCTTGCGTGAAATACACTGTGCCTTAATGATATTTTGTATTTCTCAGAACTCCTTCACCACAATATGTTTGTGAAATTTTTTTACTGAGCACTAATTTCTTTGTGGGTTCCGTGAAACCAGCTTAGTATTATCTGTGCTGCTTTCTGCTTAGCCTGGGACAACTGTGAACCTGGAGCCCTTTGAGGCATTAATAAATTTATTCCCTGCTTTGTAGTAGTTCTAGTGGTTCTTATATGCCTTGCTTTCCTTTTTCTCATTCTTGCTCTCAAGAATGTGATTTTGAAGTTGTGCTGGTACAGGCTTTCACAGCGCTTACACCAAACCACCCTTGCTAATGCTTCAGAAATAACAAGGTCAGCATCTGTGCAGGAAATGAAATACACCAGCTCCCCTCAGTTCAGCACCCTCACAGTGGTTCTTCAGAGCTCTGTTGCAGCCTGTGGGACATCTGGCTGTGAGTACTGCCTTATGCTCACTCATTTGGAAGGGAAACTAGCACATCCCTGTATTACACTAGGTCTGAAAGTTGTGGGTTTGGGTTTCTTTATTTATTTGGTTTCACTCTGCTTTTTCGTACTTTACCTGTGAGGAAGGCTTTTAGTTGGTTACTTTTCACTTTCAGTTCTGAATCTAGCATATCGTAAATGTTCTCTTTTCTAATTTGTTTTAAAATATTCTGCCAGAAAGTAGCAATTACCTTTTTTAATGAGTCCTGTAATCTTCTTCCTACAGACAGAAAGTGCCTGGGCTGAAGAATATTTAGATAAGAAGAGAAGCTCACACAAACGTTCATCATCATGGGGCAGCAATGAACAACTCAAGGAGGTCAGAAATTACTTGAGAATTTTGGCTTAAATGTTTTTTTTTGGTCTGCACTGATACCATGATGCTTCAGGAAGGCAGGAATATGTTACTACTTTGTTGAATTATGAAATTATGCTGGGCTTGGTAAAAAATATGAAATTGCTTTTCATTTGCTATTGATTTAATATAAAAATGCAGGTCAATTAATATTTTCAATCTGAATATGTGGGAAAGAAAATGTTAAATTCAAGTGGCATAACAGCAATGACCTCATTACTTTCAAATTGTATGTATTTCAAATTCTTTCACTAAACCTCTAGAGATGTCTTCTGAGCATCAGCTGAACTGGTAGCTAGCATACTAGGTTTGCAAGCACCTGAGTATAATCTAGTGCTGGCAGTAATTTTGCATGTTATGGTAGTAAATAATTTTAACTAAGTGAATGGAATAAATGAATGAAATGACCTATGTACTTGAATACACTTGTTGAAATCGGATATATTTTTTTCCTTTGTTAGATTGCAAAATTACGTCAACAGCTGCAGAGAAGCAAACACAGCAGCAGGCACCATCGGGACAAGGAAAGACAGTCCCCTTTTCATGGCAACCATGCTGCCATTAACCACAGTCAGGTAAGGCTGTGTGCTTTTTGGCTGTATTGGGTAGCTAATACTACTTTTAGGTCCCTTCAAGGTTGTGATTTGTCTTAGAGGGAACTTGGAAATACCACAAACTGCTAAATATGCTGTAGCTATAGGTGAATTCTATGAAATAGAGCTCTTTTTTTGGCTTGAGTGAATGAGGGTCCAGCCCTTTTTGTTACTTGGGTGAGCTGGCTTTAAACTCCCAGTTCCAAATAATTTCAGGTAGTTAAATTCATCCTTAAAGCAAGGTTTTTAAAGTGCATTCTTCAGGTTCCACAAAAAGATGACAAATAAGTTTAATCTAAAACTATAGATCATCTTCTCCATTACATGTTGCTGTGACAATTATGACTTGCATGTAGAGTATGGCATGGAGCAAACTGCTGGTAAAACTGTACACTCAAATAAAAGGTAGCTTTTCTGAGCAAATTTTGTTGTCTTGCCAAACACTCATCTATACTGTGATGAGCTTTAGAGAACTTACCTGACAAAAGGCTGCTCCATGAGCTTATTTGTTTACACATTTCATAACTTCAGTCAGCCTTTTTAAGATTTTCTCTTTTTTTTAACTCGTTTATCATGCCTTGAGACTTAAAGTAATAATCCCTTCTAGGAAAACAGATGGTTAGGCCACCACATTCGTGCAATTTCAGTTTTATTTCAGGGCTTCTAATGAGGTCAGGTTGACAGAGGTGTAATATTTTTAGCTCAATTGATAGCAGGTGTAAAAAACTTGTAGGCTTTCAAAAACACAGATCCTTTTTCAAGTGTGTTTTTGAGTAACTTTAAGAAAACCAATAGAAAAGTTTGGTGATTTTTTTTTTTTCAGAAGGAAATTTTTTTTCTCTCTCTACTGGTATCTAATGAATGTACTTTTGATAGACACAATTTTTTTAACAGTTACAAAAAGAATAAATCCCTCACAATAACCTTGGCAAGGTAGTGTAGTTGAAAGAAACTAGGAAACTGTCAATGTTGTGAATTGAGAAAGTAGCTCAGCTGTGAAGCTTCTCTGAAAATCTAATTATATTCCCAATTACTCCTGAAATGCTTTTAATTGTTCAATAAATATCATAATCTGACAACAGTTAATAAAAAAAATTCATTTCTGTCATTCTGTCCTTCTGGAAATAATTTAGGCCAAGTTCTTTCATTCTTTCTTTCAAAGTCAGGTGTCTGAGTGAATGTGTTCTACATGAAGAATGAAAATAAGAAAATAGATTGTTTTGAATTTTTTCTACTCTGTTCTTAACTCCTACTTCGTATAAAAGTCATGAGCACCTTTTGTCTCAGACCCTAACTTCTTATCCCTGATGTAGGACATTTAGTTAGGAGCCATGATTTGCGTGCTTCCTGAATTCAGTTTGTCAGTAGTTTGAATTCTCTGCTGCTGGAAATATTTAGGGATTTTTTTTAGAATTACATTTTTTGACATAGCAGTTTAGGAATTACTGAAGCGTGGGTGCAGTGTACTGTGCTGCTGATTTTAGTGACTGCTCAAGTCAGAACAGTCCAAAATGAAAAAAGACAACTGACCCAGTCCCTTTTCTAGGGGGTTTTGAGAAAGTTCATGAAAATCAACAGAAAACGTCTCAAACTTTTGGTTAAAAAACCCGAACCAAAACAAAAGACAGATCAGCATACTTAAGGTGTTTTATCTGAATTTGTAGAACTTGAGGACAACTTCAACCAAAAGGTATACTAAAGTACTTTTGATGTAGGCCCTTTACTACACTGTAGAATTACATGCATTTTAACAGGTTTCCTTGGCATTTCTACAAACCTGTGGGTTTCTGAATGCTAAGGTATTGCCACTTAAGCACAGATGATTTTAGTGAGTTTTAATTTCAAAAATGAGCAACAATGCTGCTATTCTGAAAAATACCTCCCCAAATTATGCATATAACTTTTTTAAAAATCATAATAGTTTTATTATTTTGTTTCTGGTATGGATGTCTTTACATTCTGCCAAATTTTATAGTACATTAATAAAATATTGTGCCATGGATAATTATTTTTTGGGCTTGTGAAACAAACTATAAAATATAAATTCAAGCAAAGCAGCTTTTCCAGTACTAAGTTACAAAACAAAACATTGTTTTTCTTGGTGAATTTTGTGCCAGCTGTGTCAAGCTACTTGCGAAGGGAAGAAGTTAAAGAAGGATTCAAAGAGTAATTGAAGAGTTTAGATTAATGGCATTTAGCAGCTGTTTTTTAACTCAGAGTGAAAGTCTGTAACTGTAGTCATCAAGGGCAAAGTTCCTGTGTTTTCTCATTCTTTTTTTGAGAACTGCTAAACTAGAATTTCTGGCAGCAGCTCTGTTCCTTCAGGATTTGTGGGAAGGACTGTGTGGAAACTAGAATTTAGTAATTAGAATACTTAGAAATTTTCTTTCACATTCCTAGCTTGAAGGAAACTTTTGTGTTGTTGACTCTAAAGGGTCATGTAAAGATTTCTGAGCTCAAAGAGTTGGATTCCTGACAAGGTGAACAAAAGTGTTAGGAAATTGTGTCAGTAGATTCTTCACAGAGACCAGGTAAACTCTGTTTAACATTTGGAAATTGGAATACTCTTCTAGTTAAAAGAAGAAATTTTAGTGGATTTATTTCCTCTTTGCTTCCCTCATTTCATCTTTTCTTCCCTGCTTAAATTTTACCACAATTCTTGAATTATAGCAAAAATTTTAGTGGTTCTTGCCAGCTAAACTTCTAATTGGTTGTTTATTTGTGCTTCTTTCTAATATGATGTTTGTGTGAAGAAAGAAATCCACAAAATCTCTATAGAATAAGCTTATTAGCTGTTCCTGACCCTCTGCTCACAATCAGGAAATAGTTGGGGAGGATCTTGATCAAGTCCTTGCTGTTGACTACAGTTATTTTCAGAACAAATTATTGGTTTTTTGTTTGTGTGCTTTTTCCATTGTGCCAGGAATGTTCCCTTTGTCTCTCTTTAACTGAAAGAGGAGTTTGCAAAAAGGTCATAGCCTACTCAGGTGATCTCAGGATGCTTCTGAGAACATTTTGAATTAGTTGCATGGCACTGAATCTGTGAACAGGAGTCAAAACAATGGTGTCTTTCTATGTTCTCAGTGTTGGTATAAGGGAGAAACTAGAACTGAGGCCAGAACTGAAACCAGATGGAAGAATAAGTGGATTATTTTTTTCCAACATAATGCTTTTTTCCTCAGTGCACTTGGCTGATATTACATTTTTACTTGGCACTCTGAACCATCAAGGCTCTTGCTCCTTTTATTTTCCTGGGAACCCTGTGTCCCCAGTGTCTGACCAATTGATTGCTACTAAGATCAGCTGCATGCAGTTCACAGCATGAGGGGCTTGGGTTTTTTTGGTGACACTCTTATCACCTCACTAGGTGGAACATTTCATTTTTTACATTAGAATTACCATGATACGTTCAGCCTAGAGGTGGCTTGATGTAAAAGTATCACAAGTCCTGGGATTCTATTTAAAGTTGTGTTACTTGTGAGAAACTGGAAGAGCTTAGAGTGCTTTTCCTGAAAGGCCTGTGAACAATTTAGATTTGTCATCGCCCTTTTTTCCTACCTTGTGAGTTTATGCCGTACCTGTAAGTTTCAGAACTGAAAACTCTGTGCCAATGTGTTCCTGTGTGTGCCCAGTAATTATTATCTTGTGGTTGGCACCTTGCCTTCAATGTCAGCATTCCCAGGTATTCCAGATGAGTAGTCAGAAGTTGGTAGCCTATTCCTGCATGTCCTTGCAGACCTTTGTGAGGGCAGTATTTTTAATAAAAAGTTTCTTTTTTTGGGGCTGATTGTTCCACCCATGTCACAATACTAATTCATTTTCCACCCTCTAGCACCTTGGGTTAAGAAATCATCCTCAGTCAGGTACAGAATATTATTTTTCTTGGAAGTGAAACATGCTGTACTGAACTATATTGAACTCTACTGAATCTGCTTTGAGCTCTTCAAATAGTAGCATGAACTTAAGAATTTCTGTGGTAGGCAATTGCATTTAAAGGTGAAGAATTCCCACATTTTGCTAATGGCTGCTGAAATCTTAAAGCATACTTGTGTTCTACTTTTTAACAAGCTCAGTTTGTCCTATGAATGTGTATATTGAATAACTGGGTGCATAAACACCCTTTAGTGCCTGAATTTGTGCTTATGTATTTATATTGTGACTGAATATCAACCTGTATTAGTTTACTGGATTGTTGATCCAAGGCCTTGCTTGGAACAGAATTAGCAGGTTTCCTTCCTCAGACTTTCTTGTGCTCTTCTCTAGTGTTTTTTTTATTCTTCGGGCAAGACTTTATAAACTCTTTAAGTTTGGCCACTATGAGAATATTTCATTTTTGTTGACAGAAACAGAGTGACAAGCATTTCCTGAACAGAAGCTTTTGTAGTTCTTGTGCAAGTCTTTTTTAAGATGTTTGTTTTTTGGTTTTTTTATGACTAACCTAATGTTTCAGGAAAGCAGAACCAATATAATTCATGAGTTTTGCTGCTGTAGAGATTTGTGATTGTGACAAGAAGTCTCCATTATGATCTGTTCTTAAATATCTTGTTTACATTAATTTTTCTCAGGTAGATTTTCTGCCAGACAAGCTTTATGTGGTTTTTGAAAATGTCCACAGGAAATTAAAATGCTTTGGTGTCTGTCTGTGTAGTTTTATTACTTAAAGGAGAAATTAAAATAAAACTCCCTCACAAAAATACACTTTGAAGACCAGATAATGCTGGCCCTTCAGTCATCAGAGGAGTTACTCTCAATCATGGCACACTAGGCCATAGAGTCCAGGAATTTCACATGGGAATTCTACTGTGACTTAAGTGTGTTGTGTTGTTCTTTGAGTTGCACTAAATGTTTGTAGAAAGTATTACATTACCTGTAGTACACCACTGCTTAATGAGTACAGAATCTTCTAATATTCTGGTAGGGAGACTTTTTTAACACAAGGGCAGATGCTAATGGAGAGACTGGGAAATCTCAAGAAGTTATGGTGTGCTAAAGGGAGCTTTGGGAAATTTCAATAATGTGTTTTCTGAGAATGAAGTTTTTTGTGCATATTTTGAAACACTGGATTTTTAAACTGTTACTCTTCCTTCTGAAGCAACCACGTATTAACATTTGGCCTTGGGATTTTATTCTTTCTGTGGAGGTCTCCCTAAGTTCTGTCAGTGTTTTATTCTGTCTTAATACAGTTAGTACATTGGTCTTAATTTTTAACATAGTGCAGTCTTGCATTTGTAGAATAATTTTCCTTCTGCATGTGTCATGTTATTGCAGATGGCCACAAATTTCTATTAAAATATCATTTTAATGTGGTTACCGTCCAACAATGAGTGATGTGACATTGTGGTGTAGTTCACTTTAGGAGGAATGTGAATGTATTTTAAAGGCTTCAAAATTACTTACATTTAAATTTTTACTGTTACATTTTCACTTGTAAAGCTCTGTCAAGCTAGAGGCAGACCATATCAAGGGAGATTTTGAGACTAGGTTATATAGCTTTTCCTGCTAGAAATTTGATTTAAGACAAAATTCAGGATGTCTGCCTTCAGTTCAAGCATCTATTTGAACACAATTGCTATGGTTTTGTGTAAATCCTTGATATTGAAGTGTAGATGTGTTCTGTTTCAAGGGTCACTTTTGGGTAGAAATAATAACTTTGTTTTCTAGATAAATCAATGTTTTTTTCTTATTGTCTCTGGTTCTTTAGGCTCCCATCCCAAAGAGTGCTCTTGTTCCTGTGATACCTATTACCAAATCAACGGGGTCACGGTTCCGAAACAGTGTAGAAGGATTGAATCAAGAGATTGAGATAATAATTAAGGAGACAGGAGACAAAGAGGAGCAACTTGTTGTATGTATCTGCCACCATGTTTGCTCTATGTACTTATTTTTGTTTTGCTTTGAGATCAAGTCATAAACTTTATTTTGTACAATTTTTAAATTAGATTTGTCTGGAATTAATTTTATTTTTATTTATTATTTTCTTTAATAAGGTTAGTTGAAAAGTCTCTTGGAAAGTAAAAGGAATGCAAGAATTAAAGCTTGAATCTGAGCCTTTTCCTCTAAGTAAAAAATCTTCATAAAATGGGGAAAAGCAAAATTTCTGTTTTGAGAGTTTTTGTAGTAATTCTTTTTTGCTCATGATGAGCTATCCCCATCCTAGGTGAACCATAATTTGCCCATTTTTTATGTTTGTTTTATTTTAATGGTTTTTAAAGGTGAATTTACTAGTAAGGTATCAGAAATACAGATTATGAATGATTAAGGAACCAGAATGCTTTGATATGAAGAGAAGCTGAGAGAGATGGGAGTGTTCAGGCTTGAGGAGAGACAACTCCACAGATCTTATCAATGTGTATAAGTATCTCATGTACAGAAATGGAGGGAGCTGGTCTCTTCTCAATAGTGCCCAGTGATGGGGAAAGGGGCAGTAGGCATAAATTTTTAAATGTCAGGTTTTTGTTGGTTTTCTTTGGGTTTTTTGTTTGTTTGCTTGTTCTAATGTATGAGGGTGTGTAAAACTCAGAGCAAGTTGCCTAGAGTAGTTGTGGAATCACTGTCCATGGAGATATTAAAAACTTGACTAGATGGAGTCCTAGATACACTGCTTTACCTGAGTCTGCTTGAGCAGAGATGTTAAACCTGATAATCTCAAGAGGTTCCTTCCAGCCTCAGGAATTCTGTGGTGATATGAAATCTTAGAAATTGTCCATAGTTTCTGAACCTGATATTTTAGTTTCTTTTGGAGTTGCATGTAACGAATTAAATTTTCTACCTCAAATGATTTTATGAAACCCAGAAAGACTCTCAGACCTTAAAGAAATATCTTTCCAGACAAGAGCAGCTGTTTGATACCTTTAATTTTAACAGCCTCAAGATATTCCAGATGGGCACCGTGCCCCGCCTCCATTGGTGCAGCGCAGCAGCAGCACTCGCAGCATTGATACCCAAACACCCGGTGGAGCGGACAAAGGCAGTAACAACAGCAGCCGCTCCCAGTCAGTGTCTCCAACCTCATTTCTTACCATCTGTAATGAAGGCAGTGAGGAAAGTCCGTGTTCTGCAGATGATCTGCTTGGTGATTCCAGAGATAAAGGTACTGTGCTACTTTAAAAGTTCAACAACGCTGAACTTATGCAACATGCGTAACTACATCAGTAAGAGAGAGGGTTTGTTCCCTGCATCCATGGAGAAATGGTAGAATGTAGAGTTTTTTGTATGTTTTTTTGTAAGTGATCAGGATTTTTTCCAAATTGCTCAGAATGCTCTATGTGTGTGCACACATATTAATTAAGGCTGCATAGATGTGACTGAGGAATGTGCTTCCCAAAAAGATTTTCTTTTAAATAATACATCATTCAAGTATTTTAAGCAGGTTGAGGAAGTAAGAATGTACAGTATCAGGTGAAACAGCACAGTAGTCCTGTTGCTTGTGTTGGGTACTTTTTATGATCTTGGCCAAAATCTGCAACCTTATAGCATTTTATGCACATACCCATAAAAGTTTAAGTATTTAGTTTATTTAAATATTCTTTTTTTGTCTGGAATCTTTTGAGAGATCCTAGGAAAATTTTGTAATTCAACATAAGCCAGTTCAGTTTTTTTAAAGAATATGGCTTCTGCCCATTTCTTTTGTGTATATGGTGACAGTACCGAACCATAGATTTAGGTTTGCAGTTAAAAGTTGAAAATGTCCAAGAGTGATCAGAGATTGCAGAGGAGCCTGAAAATGTTACAAGGAAAAACCAAAAGAAGGAAAGGAATTGAGATAAGAAAGCTTATTTGCAAATGAAGGCTTTGAAGGTAAATGAAAATGTTGTTGAATTTCATAACATTGGTAGTGAAGTGGCTTTGAATTCAGGGGACTTTTAGAGGTAGCTCTTGTAGTTTTTTTATAGTGTGTCACATTTACATAATGAGAAACTTTGTTCCTGCAGAAAACGGGAATAATTCTCCCTTGCCAAAATACGCTACCTCGCCAAAACCCAACAACAGCTACATGTTCAAGCGTGAACCTCCTGAGGGCTGTGAAAAGGTGAAAGTCTTTGAGGAAAACTTGTAAGTTGATTTTTGCTACATAAGAAATAACATCTAAGCATTAGATTAATTATTGCTTTGTTGATTTTATGTCAGATAGAAGTTATTAGTCTAGTTGCTAAAGCCATGCTAAGAACCTGATCTCTGCTTTTTAGTGTGACTATATATTGGCATATCTGTATATATTTTCCTGCTGGAATTTAGTGTTAAAATCTTGACTGATGTTTTTTTAAAAAACAGCATAATTTGAGAAGAGTCTCTTACCTGGCAGGCAGTGGGAGAAGAACTCAAATAATCAGACAGGGGGAGAGGTAATAACAGACTGTAACATCATCTAATGTATGTCGCAGCTTGACAGGCACATCCAGTAATCTAGACTCTGAAGACCATATTCTTTTCAGCTAAATCAATGTAGTTGTGAAACTTCTAGTGACAGAGAAGTGAACTTGACCCTGAGTATTTGATGCTTTGATTATTCTGAAAAAGCCAATTTTTGTCCTTTGAGAATATTCTGGGAGGTTATGTTTTATTATTATTTCAGATGGGTTTTTATACCCTTATGTCATTTGTATGCTAGAATCTTAACCTACAGTTAAAATTCCATCTTGTCACACAAGGAGTATAGATTGGTTACCATTCTCTTACATTATCTCAAGAATGTCATCTAGTATAAATGTCAGTTAAAAAGAAAATTAGCTTGGCTGACCTGTGCAAATGGATTCTGAGAAGTTTCTACAGTCTGTCCCATAGCAATGTGGGAGGGGTTACCGTAACTGAAGTTACCTGTCTGTATTTTAGGGTATGTAAACTATGTTGCTGACAGGTAGTTAGTATTCACTTGCTGCAGAACATACTCTATTGCAGTTTGCATTTCTTTTAGGAAGTCCTCTCTTTGTAATTGTAGGACTGTTCTGCTGCAGAGTGAAGCAGGCTTCTACACAAGTTTCTACATAGCTATAGCAATCCTCAGACACTACAGTCTCATGAAAGAAACATCTTTTCATGTCTGTTACTTGAATTCCATGTATCTATGGAATACATGAGTGTAACTATTTAAAGCTCAACCTTTGTTTAACATAATCTCTATTTGAAAATCCTATACAGGATTTTCATTTGGGAAGAAAATTTACAAGTGGGGTTGAATTTTCTGGACACTGGGGAGAATTGCCTAGCATGGAAATGTACGGTGTTTTATGAACAGGATTACTTTTCAGTATAAAATATCTCTACAAAAATATACTGGAAGATTGGCTTGCTTGGCTTAGTAAAACAAAGACCAAAGTGAACATGGCTCTTTTACAAACACAAGGAAGGGAGGGAGAGGTTATGGGCTAAAGGACAATGCTGGCAACAACAAAAAGTGAATAAAAATTTCTGGTGGCTATTTTCAAGCAGTAAACAGAGACTTGAAAGCAGATTTCTATAGCTCCGTCTTGAAGTAGATTTTGGCTACTATAAGTAGATTTGCATTGCAGTGTCAGAACACAGAAGGCATTCCTAAGCTATCCTTGATTTCCATTCCAGGTCTGTTTTTCTTAAAGCATGTCTTGAGCTGAGTTCTGTGCTGAGATGGCAAACTGCAAGTCAGGATCTAGATTTGTGTTCCACACTTCCTTCCCAGATTATAGGTACTTGATCAGGAAAACTACATTTTACTCTCTGCACTGAGTTTTTTAGTAAGATTAGGGTCGTCTTCTGCTGAGAGTCAGGGCACACTCAAGTGAACATGCAAAGAAGGCAAAAGTGTAGGATAGGGGAACCCCAGATGATTATGAACCTCTTTGAGATAGGCACTGTTAGGACCATTGTTATGCCAGCTTTCTTTCACAGGGCTTGCTGTATAAATAGTGTCTATATGTGGAGTAGAACTGGTTGGGTTGTGAAAGCTTCTGGAGAACGTGATTGAAAATACTTTCTCATATAATGAATGTGCTAATTCACAGATAGGGTTTGTGATCAAGCATGAAGTTTGTTGAGTTCCTTAGGTTTGGAAACAGCCTGCCCTAAAAACATGCTGTCGCCTTGCAGCACATTTACACAAGTGGTTTAAACCATCTTGTCATTTGCTGTGTGCTGTGAGTGTCATTAAGGCATTATTGAGTAGCTGAAATACTTCAAGTTGAAGCCTTGACTTGTTTCTGATGATGTGTTCAGCAATACATCCCTGCCATTGGCAGAATTTGATTGTTCCATAAAACTATTGTGTGTATTTTATTTCTAGGCCAAAGCCATTGCATGAAATTCCAGCCTTCTATTGCCCTGACAAGAACAAAGTGAATTTCATTCCAAAAAGTGGCTCTGCTTTCTGTCTTGTCAGCATCCTCAAGCCACTTCTTCCCACACAGGATCTCACACTTAAGGGCACTACACACAGCCTGACTGTCTCCTCCAGCATGACGCCTGGCTTGTTACAGCCCATTTCTATGGCCTCCTTGACTACAAACACAGATCAAGACAGGATCTCTCGTGGAACAAGTACAGTAATACCACAGACCTCTCTGCTCCAGCAGTCGGGATGTATTGAGGAAGCTGAAGAATAATTTAGATTGTCGTGACGTTTTTCTGGGCAACTACTGGGAAAAAAATGGAACCAGTTGACCGGACCTTTCTGATCACACACACGCGTTGTTTTAACAATTTATGGCACTGCCAAAATCAAACTGTTTATATAATTGACAGTCTGGTAGCACATTGGGAAGTTCAGGAGATGCAGCAGCTGATATGCTGTGTACTTTCTGCTTTTGAAGACTCTGGTTCTGTTTCTTGTCTGCATTTTTTAAACACTGGTGAAAACAAAGACTATCGTAATCTTTTCCCATTTAAAGGACCAGTTGTTGTGATGGTGTGTGTCCTCTGACTTTTTTTTTCCCATTAAAACAAGTCTCAAGACCAGCCAGCTGATCCCATTTACCATTGTGATCTGCAGAGGGCGGGGCAATCAGATGGTTTTGCAAGATGTCTTTTGTATGAAAATGTGTATTTTGTAACAAAATTTTGCCTTTCTGGTTTGTAGCAGATGGTGTTTCCTGGTGATGATCCCCCTACTCTTTTTTTTTTTTTTTTTTTTTTTTTTTTTGGTAGGGATTTTTTTTTTTTTTTTTGCTGGCTTACAGCTGATGGGACCAAAGGATTGCTGNTTTTTTTCCTTTGGTAGGGAAGGTTCTTTTATACTTGGCTGGCTTACAGCTGATGGGACCAAAGGATTGCTGAACTATTGTGGCAGTCTCAAATTATGTGACCTTGCTGAACAGCCTCAGACCTAAAAAAATCAAAGCAAGTTAATATGTTTGAAACTTTTAAAACAGAAGAGTATGCAAAAACAGTGTTAGTATATAGTGTACATTTTTTTGATATTAAAAATTTGTGCTTCTGGTAAGTCACATTCTTAAAATTCCTTCCTTCACAGAATTCCTACTTGTGTTGGTTTATTGGCTGGAAAATTGCATTTTAAAGCACTTGCCCTATTTGTCCGTAAAATTTCTGTGCAGATGTAGGGAAAAAGCATATTATCCTCTTACTCAGTATTCTTTCTTCCAGAAAATACTTGGCTCTTACAGGCTTGCTTAGATCCATATGAGTCAGCCTGAAACATTAATCACTCTTGGTACAAATTTGCTGTGACATGACTCATCACTGTATTATAGACCCTGGCCACATAATACTGAAATATCTGTGCATGGTTTCCTCCCTTTTGTCATAGTGTTGTTTGTGTGTCTCTTGAAGGTGATGGTTTGTCAGGCATGATATCTGTTATGCAGAAGTTTACAGCAGCAGATATATTCTCTCTTTTTGACTAGCAGCTCAGGCTGGCATGTAAAGCAGAGGATTTTTTTGATACTTGGTTTGTCCTGATAATGTGGCAGTTAATAGTTGCTTTGAAATTCAAATGAAAGGCAAAATTGGTGGGGGGTGGAGGGGGGCAGAAGGCAGCTGCAAACAGAAACTGTTCAGGAACTTCACTGAGGTTTCTCATGTGTTCCTTGAGTGCATTACTTGGGTTTGAGTTAATACAATTATAGATACACAGAAAACTGCAATGACCTGAATACCAGTGTCATAGTTGCTTATAAAACACGTTGATCTTGTACCTCTTTAACAGAGATTCAGTAATTTCAAAGTAAGTGTCACTGTGGGCAGTCTCTGGGTCTAAATATTGGTCTGTTACACACAAGCAGATCTCACTGCTTGCATCTACACAACTTCCATCTACATGGTTTCCATGGATCAGTTGTATTCTCAGGTCTCCTCATAATGGCAACTATTTAAAGATGATACTGCAAATATAACAGTCTTGTTCAGTGCTTAATATGATGAATTTGCTTGCAAACATTTTGATTTAGAGAAAAAACTCAGCATATATGTGCAGATAATAATCATAATTTGATGCATATTTGCTCTTCCTTTGAGTCCTGTCTTAGTAACTATGATTGCAGTGTACTTCATTCAGCAAGTAAGTGTAAATCATGCTAGAATGTACAAGTTCTCAATTTATAGTATTCTTAAAACATTATGCAAAAAAAGTCATTAAATTAAAACTGTACCAGGAGGTATGAAAGTATTTCACCTGTTAAATTAGCAGACAGGCATAATTTGGCTTACTACCTTCCTATGAAAATGGACAGGGTTGTTTTGAAGTAAGTTTTGATTTGCACTGACATTGTCAGTCACCTGGAGTTGCTGAGGAGCAGAGCTTTAAAAATAAGCAGCTTTGTGCATCAAACTTGTGTAATTTTGCCAGCTGATAGTTCTTTTCTAGGCTTTGTGGATATTAATTTGTTTCTTCTGAAACACTACAGTGCAATTTGAAGTCTAAAATTTACTGCTTTAAATAGGTTTGTTTAACCCTGGTGTGACTGAATCCAGATCATTTCAGGTAAAGGAAGTGCTTTTAAGTCTATTTTCTATTTCTGTAACAGTAGCGTGTAAAGAACTTCATTGTTGCCAAACTGCCTAGTACTTTATTAGGAGATCTTAACGCAATGGTTAAGAACCATTAAAAAGGGCTAAAGTTAACAAATACCCTTTATTACAGCCTTGACACTTAACTGACTTCACTAAAATGCACTCTGATGTTTGTTTCCATCATATTGTGACTCTCCCAAACAGCAGTGAGCTTTCTTACTGTAGGACTTTCTTTTGCACCTGTTGTTGTAGGACTCGAGTATCTCTCTGGTAGTTTACCTTGTATGTTATTGGAAAATGTACTGTACAAATTAGTGAGCTGCTCTGATAAAAACCAAATGTAAATGTGTGAGGTTTTTGCTTTTTATAAAAGAACTGCATTCAGGACAACATTCAGTCTTTTTTTATATGCAGGACAACTCTACTATTGCTATGGCAGCTCAAGTTTATGAATCCACACTAAAGACTCAGAGTTAAGAAAATATGTCAACTCTTGTTCTGAGACCAGCTTTGATGTGTGCAGACAAAAATTGGCCTTAAATTTTTTATGTGCTGTCTTGTGCTATAGCATAGCTGTTAGCTTAAGTATTTAAATTGATTTGCAAATAGCTTTGAGAGTGCATGGAGCTTTTTAAGAACTCTTTTATGTATAGGGTGGGATATTAATTTTTGGAGGGAGCTGACCTGTGCATTACACAAGCACCGTTTTACTGAAAGAGTTAAAATTCTTTTGGCTTACTTAAAATCCTAACTATGCATAGACCTAGTCAGTTCCCTGATTGCCTACTTTGTAGCTTAATAAAAAGCAAAAGTCTATTTTTATGCACAACTTGATGCATTTGATATTCTTGTTCTCTTGATGTGCTACACTTCTAGCTACACTTAAAGGCTGGTGGTTGTGTTCAATAACACTGGCAGTTGATTTTGAGATATACTAAATGCTATTACTCCAGTTGTAAATTCTACTTAAATCATAAGGAAGGAGTTCATTGTAACAAAGTCCATGGTCACAGTTGTGATTATTAGAATTGTTTTTTTCAAAAACTCAAGGCACAGAGGAAGAGGGCTCCTTTGGTAAAGTTTGGCCTGCATCAGCTATTCTTTCCTTGCTTGGTGCCATAATGCTGTAGCATTTAAGTACTTGGAAAAGTAACAGACAGTGCTTAAGTGCATATAGCTTGGAAAGAAATTCTTGGTTTCAGGTATGTATCCCAAGTGAGCAAAAAAGGGAGTAAAAATTAAATATTGCTTACTGTGGCAGTAAATTATTGCTGTGTTTGGTTTACATAAAGCAATAGCAGCTCTTATAAAGTATGTTTAGTCTCAGGGCTATTTTTTGATTTGTTCTAAAATACAATTTCCTGGAATTCATTGTCTGAGACTGTTGAAAAACACTGAGGCTGAGCTTTTTGGGAAGAAGGAAACAAAGTCATATCCATTAACCTTTCCTCTGCCTCAGGCCAAACTTCTCCTTGCTTGTTAAGAGAATTCAGTGGTACCACAGTAATTCTTTGCTGAAGTATTATCTGTTCTCTCTCCCTGCCATCTCTAAAATGCTGACTGATGTCTTTACAGAAACTCAGTGCCAGTGATGTCCGTATTTCCTTGCTAAATGTTTCCTTGCTGAGTACTTGACAGCTCCTCCATCAAGCTGAGAGGGCAAAGGAGGATGTGTAGGAAGTCACCAGAGACTTGCAGTTACAGCAATCATTCCTGCAGGATGACTTCTTGGGTATCTTGATTTCCATGTGATTAACTGTGTGCAGGCACACAGGTCTGCTGCTTTAATTTGCTTGATTGAAGGCAGAGCTGGTATTTTTGAGAACCTTTTATTGTTTTTTTCCTATGTACAGACATGCAAAGCCGTTATCTTCCAGAATTGATGCACTCTTACCTGCATCTCCAGAATAAAGCTTGTGTATTGTTCTTACTTTTCCTCATGAGATTACTATAACCTGCAAGAAGGAAATAAAAGCACCTAAACACACAAGAACATCAGGACTGTGTTTTCTCCATATAATTCCATAGTGCAGGTGTGAACCCTTTCATCAGATGATTTAGATCTGAGCCAGGTTGATATATGTTAAACCAAAAATGTTCGTTTTTAGGAAAGGCAATAGAAGGTAAGCCCTTCATAACCTAGGGAGGTGAAAAGCACTGGGGAAAGCAATTGATTTTACTGTGATTAAAGAGTTCTTTTAGAATTGTTTTTCTGAATATGGGTATACAGGAAAATAGTTACCAATCACTGCAAGATGTATCTGTGTATTTTCTTGATTGGAGTTTGTAAGCATTCAGCATCTCTGAAAATCAGTTCTATTCTTAGTGTTCTGTTTATACAAAGAATGACTTAGATGCATTATCTGGAAACTGTTACTTTGCATGTCAAGTGGGGGGAGAATGTTAACTACTCACAAGTGTTCTGTGAAATTCCAGTCCTGTACCCCAGCTGAACTACAGCAGTCTCTTTTTGAATGCTCCAAACGGAAATGGAGTCCAGTTACTGCTTGCTTGGTTTCATTGCATGTCATCAGTAAATGCTCAAGGTATGGTCTGTGTTTAATAGTTCTTCATTGGGAGTTGTATTTGACAACAGAGACTCCTGTAGTGTTGACAGGTCTGTAGCAGTAAGAGGATTTGGCCTGATAACACTGCAAATTAACATTTATTACACAAACTTTTGGAACAACTCTCTTTGGAAAATCTGCTAAGCTAAAGAAAGAAAACAAACCTCATCATCCATCCTAATTGTCAATGTACTGATAGTTAAGAACATAGCTTGGCTTCATTTTAAATTATTTCTTATATAGAAATGTGCAATTTTTGAGAGTAGCAGTCAAAGGATGTTCAAAACTGCCATTAGATTTGCCTTTGTATGAAATTGGCTGACATGTTTTCCTCTGTTACACTGTGATAACTTGTGGAGATGTTCTTGCTTATGTTGTACTGATAGGTTACTTGTTGCATGTAAAGCAATTTTTGTAAGCAAGAGGAATTCCAGGGATGTCCTGTAAAAAAGGGCCTATTCTAAGGTGATGTACACTGTTGTAAAACTGGAGCAGCTCAACTAATTTCAATGGAATTCTTGATTTACACTAGTCTTTTTGCTATGTGTAGTTATGCCAGTACAATTTTGCACAATGTTATTTGAATATTGCGTTCTGACTTG